CAAAGGGACAAAACTGAAATATACTGTGAAATAAGACTGTTAATGCTTCTTCACTCTGCTGTTCCTAAGTGTTTCACGAAAAGGCAAATTCAGTGAGTCTTTTTGGCTGGAGCAGAATTCTGCAGACAGATTTGGCTGACAAAGAGTGAGCAGTTCCTCCCACTTGGTGCTGTTTCCTGAGGGTTTTGGTGTAAAGATTTTCCACTTGGCAAACTTAAGAAACCCAAGAGCCCTCTGATTTAACCAGGGTTTTTTCTGCATACCTCGTGCTTTTTCTTGTACAGGTTGAAAAAGAACAATTCAGCTTCTCCCTCTGCTTCACCCAGCAGTGAAACTGCCCCACTGTCATGTCAGATTTATTTGTGAGAGGTGATCCTGCTCTCACAAGTGCAGCCAAGGGTTCGTTGCCACACCAGGTAGGATGAGGAAAGAAGAAAAAAAAGTTCTTTTTAAAGAATTCACTTTTCTGGTGGCTGCTGCAAAGAGCAGAAGGTGAAGAGACTTCTTTTGGAGTGCTCTGCTCCAAGTTCTTGATGAGTGTCACCACGTAATGTGCTGGGTTTATTTTCTGTCCCTTAATTTGGGTGAGTTTCAGTCATCAGCTGGAAATTTGAGTTTGTAGGAGCTGGAACACAGGGCAAGACCTTTACAGGATTCCCTGCTCTAGAGCCTCTGTTTTACTCAATCTGAATGAAGGGACATTGAAGGGACAGCTCATGGAGGTGCCACTTCTGGAGCTGAGCTCCTCTGGAAATCCTGCTGCGGTTTTGGCTCCTTGGTGCTCTTGAGCAAAATGTGAGTTTGGCAATCTTGCTGGAATGTTTGGAAAATCACCTTCCAGCCTCCCAGGGCTTGTCTTTTGGACTGCTGGATTTTTGGTGAGTCCACCCAAAACCACATGGTGATAAAGGAGAGACTCTTTTTCTGCCTTGAGAGCCACGGATAAATCTGATTTTTTGGGGGGGAGATTCGCTGATGGAAGTGGGGCAGGAATGTAAATAGGGATCCAATTAATATTTAGTGACCAGGCTCCCCCAGCTCTGGCCATGCAGATTCCACCTCATTGTAAATATTGGTAGAAGCCACTAGACCTGGAGCATCAGCTGAGCCTGCTTCTGCTTCAAGGTTGGGAAGTTCCTGGTGTGGCTGAGCTCTGCTGACTGAGCCTGTGGAGACACTTGGAGCAGGGAAAACGAACCCTTTGGAAGCTGCAGGAATGGCTGCAGAGACTTTTTCCTTCACCCTGCTGTCTTTGGTCTTAGAGATTGTCCTTGTGTGTTTGTGCCTAGAGAATGGAGCTGGCAGGGGGGAGGCTTTTCCACAGGGAAACTTCCACCAAACTCGGTGTTTCCTGTTAAATTGTCATTTTGTGCTGCTTTGTTTTGTTTTCCGTGGAGTCTTTTCAGCCTTTGGATGTAGAAGAGGATGGAGTTTATTTATCCACATGCTTGTGACCGGGGTGTTCATGTAAATCCGTTTGCTTGTGCTTTCCACTTTGTTTTCTGGATGTTTTTTCTTGAAATCTTCCATTTGTAGATCCAGCCTCTACAAGCTTTGAGAAAATGATGTTGGCTGTTTAAAAAAAACCTTCCTGTGGTGCTTGATGAAGAATCAAAAATCATGTTTTTAGCGGAGTTGTTTCTGATAGAATCTCTTTCTCAAAGGTTTTTAAAGGCCGTGAAGATGACATATCTTAAAACTTAGCTCGTTGTACTTGACTTTGTTTAGGAATACACATTTTAATGTATTTTTGCACAGAAATGCACTGTATTTCACTGAAGGAATACATGCTGCACTGGTGTTTGTAGTGCATTTAACCTCTTGGTGCAAAGCCCTTGTAAATCTTCCAAATGTGGTCGTTGAATTTCCTGATGTTTTGTAAGACAGTTTCATAACCCAAGTCCTTTAGTCCAGTAACGATGACAAATTCTTATAAACTGACCCTTATTTGTGGAAGTGACTGAACTATATTTGTGGATCTTGGAGCATTCTGGAGTTTTTTGGTTGTCTAGAAAATAAAACTCTCTGAGAGGGTTGCTTTGATTTTTTTTACCGTTCAAATGTTGACTGAGTAAACCTGAGAGTGTCTGGATTGAGGCTCACGTTTCAATTTCTGGCATTACAATTAAATAATTAATATTTCCATTTCATTAATTTGGTTTAAAAATCAAGATATCAATTTTTGGGGACTGCTAGTTTGCAAGAAAAATCAGGTTTTTGGAAGGAAAGGACTAAAAGGATCCTGTTCACTTAAACCCCAGCCAAGTGAGATTTTTAGAAAATCTTTTCTTTTATTAACACTGGGTTGGTTTTTTAAGCAGTCTTTGTAGTTTTATGTTAATTTAACTTTTTACAACTTTTCATTTTTCTTGCTGGCAAGCAGACTCTAATCCCAGCTAGGAGGAGATGCATGTGGGGAGGACAACATCCCAAATATCCTTTCCAGAAAACTTTAAATTGAATATTTGACAAAAAATCTCACTGCAAGTAGACAATTTTATCCTTTTTTTTTTTTTCATGAAAGATGTGAGATGCTGAAGAACTCAGAGGGGATGAGGGTGGTTATCTCCACCCTTGGTGAGAAGGATTCTCTGTGGGGGAAGGAGGAGGAGAGCAGGGTCAGAGGTGTCAGAGAACTCGGGGATAATTTAAGGAGGAGAATTGTTTGGGTCCAGCCCTAAGGCATCAACGTGAGCTGTATGCAAATGTGGGACGTTTGGGAACCTGGGTGAAGATAAGAGCTTAACGAGGGTTTTAATTGTGCTGCTGGAACAGGATTAGGATTTGAGGTTCCACCAAATCTCAGGCTTTTCCTAAACTGGAGGTTGCTGCCAGAGGGAAGATTCCTCCCTGGACCGGGGGGTTTAGGACAGGACATTCTGATTTCCTGCTCATTTTGAAAAAGGAAGAGATAGATCTCTGTGTGCCCCGGAGGCTCCATGGGTTTGTACTCCAGATCTGGATTTGTGCTGGAACACGAGGGTGGAGCTCAAAGCCTGGGTGATTCAACTCTCCTGGTTTGGTCTTTGGGAAAGCTGAGGACAGGAATGGTGATGCAAATGAAGAAAACCCAAATCCAAGCTGGCACTGATCACATGACAATTGTAATCTCATTCCTAATTAATTTCTAGGCTTTGAACAGTTCCTTAAGTTGTTCTAGTAGAGGCTCTTGTGTTTTCCTTGGTAAAAAATATCCCTGGATAATTAAAGTTAGAAGATGCAGCATCACTGAAGGCTGTGATTCATGAGGAATAAGTATTTTGAGGAGAACTGAAATCTTTTAATTGGTGCCACTGTTAATTAAACTATCATAATATATTACACTATACCATTATATATTACGACTGTTAATCCTATTTGGTTACCAAACCCAAGGAGAAATGTATGTTAATTTTTCTATGAGGAAGAAAAATGTAAATTTTTTTTAGTGTGATTGTTCTCTGAAGAGCAGACTCTTTACACTCTGGCTGTGAGGAGCAGCTCCTTCACCTCCTTCACACAGCTGCCAAGCACATTCCCTCTGGATAAACGCTCCAAACAACATCTCAAGTGGAACTTTCTCAGCTGAAATTAGCTCTAAAATTTAGAAACACAACCTAAAAAAAAACCTCTCTGATGTCTGGGATTGTTTGGGATGCATTACTGTGCACAAGAGGATGAAATCAGCCCCATGGATGAGAAAACCAAAGTTTGTTCTGTGGCTGTTCCTGGATCCACAGCACAGAGCAGTGAGCAGGAGGTGCTCTGAGGAAAGCACTTGTAGCATCTTTAAAAATTCTAATTAAGCTACTCCAGATAACACTGAAATTTCCCCCCATATTTTTTAAATTCTCTTGCCTGTTCCTGGCAGAAGGAGAACCCTCGAGCTCCTGTTGACATTGACACAAAGCCCCACTGACAGGAGTGAAAGCACCACCCAGGCAAGTCAAACAGAACAAATACCTCCAGATAATTCTTTTCCAAGGGAAGCTTTCAGCTGATGAAATAATTTGGGCAGAAATGTGGAAAAAAATATGTAGAATGTTGAGCAACAAGGTGTCCCTGCCCATGGTCTTTAAGGTCCTTTCCAGCCCAAACCATCCTGGGGTTCTGTGATTCCATGTTAAATAGAAAGAGGCGCTACTTACTTGGCTTGACAAGCAAAAATAAACTTTAAAGGAATTAATTCAAATGGTATTAAAACCTGATACTACAAATAAACGTTCTGGTTTATATATTAAACAATCTGACTGTTTAGTTGGTTCTATTCTTTGTTCCTCAGTGGTAAGAGCTGTGAGAAGCTGGGGTGAATTCCAGTTGTTTCATGTTCAAGAATGTTTTAATTTAGAATCTCACAGAAGCAGAATGGGTCTCATGAAGATTTTAAAATCATGGCCTGGGTTTGAAAGGAGAATCTACAAAACTAAGAAAGTTTATGAAAAAGGGGGAAATAAGCTGGAAAATAATATGATTACATATACATCTATATATACAAAATATGAATGGATATAAATTAGAGATGAATAAGTGTATATGAATTAGTGGGATAATGGTTCTAATGATTAAGGGAAAGAATCTTTGGATAAAGCCTTTTGTCAATTTTGCTGCACTGGGGAAAGAAAGATAAATTGTTTCAAGGTGGAATGTCTGAAGTTAGAGAAGGGAAGGCCAAAACTGCCACAAAGGGCTCGGTTGAGGAAGAACGGTTTCCATGGGAAAATAAATATTTATGAAAAATAACTGGGGCGTCAAAATCACAGAAAAGACCCTGGTGGTAAGAAGAGGAAGGAGTAAGATACTAAACTTCGAGGGAGAGAAGGTGAGAGGTTCAGGTTTCGCTTTCAGCCATGCTTTCTTCAGAAGATAACAGATACCAACAGAGAAAAGAAGATGTCACATCTCCTTTGGAGGATGCTGCAAGAGAAAGGATTTGGGTCATCGAGGCCCCGGCTATAGATAAAGGTGTGAAAAGGAGGCATCTAGGGCACGCCATCCCCTCCCGGGACGGCGGCCGCGGGCAATGCCGGGGGGGCCGGGGCGCTGCCGCCGAGCCTCGCTCCCGGAGCCTTCGGTGGCGGCGGGGCCGGAACCCGGGCGGAGCGGGCGAGGCGGAATCGCCGGTTCGAGGCGGAATCGCCGGTTCGAGGTACGGCCGCGGTGGCAGCCGCAGCTGCTCTTGGCTCCTCGTGTTCCCGGAGCTGCCTGAAGGCTGCGCAGCTCCAGCGGGCGGCACGGGTCCAGCCCCGCATCCTGCCCCGCATCCTGGGGATGGGGATGCTCCCGGCTGGAGCACACCCGTCTGTGCCAAATAATGCGGTCTTGGCTTTGTCATCCCTCTTGTCCTGTTGGAAAATGAATCCATGGTTGAGCATATCGTAGTTTAAATATATTTGTATATTTAAATAAATGCTATTATTTGGAAAGATAGCTGTAAAATTGGGTCTGACGTTTTTGGCTGAGTTACACAGCATTGAAGTCAAGAGCGTAATAATTTTCTTCATTTTTTTAGAACAACGTTTCATTTCACCTTTTCTGGGATGGAGATTTCTTCTCATCAGTTTCACCTCTTGCAGCAACTAAATGAGCAGCGCAGGCAGGACTTGTTCTGTGACTGCAACATCCTGGTGGAGGGCAAGGTGTTCAAAGCCCATCGCAATGTGCTGTTTGCCAGCAGTGGCTACTTCAAAATGCTCCTTTCGCAGAGCTCGAAGGAGACGAGTCAGTCCACGACAGCCACTTTCCAGGCCTTTTCTCCTGACACCTTCACAGTTATCCTAGATTTTGTGTATTCGGGCAAACTGTCCCTCACTGGTCAGAACGTGATCGAAGTCATGTCAGCTGCCAGCTATCTGCAGATGACCGATGTGATCAGCGTGTGTAAAACCTTCATCAAGTCGTCGCTGGACATCAGCGAGAAGGAGAAGGATCGCTACTTCAGCCTGTCAGACAAAGACGTGAGTTCCAACGGCGTGGACCGATCCTGTGTGTACAGCGGGGGGTGGAGGGCAGAGAGCAGCCCCCCACATTCCCACTCGAGCCCAGACCCTGGGACTTGTATGATGGGCGGCAACGCTTGGAGCAATTTCAACTATTACCCCAGCTCTCAAAGAAATGCCCAGCAGCAGCTGTCCAAACACGAGCAGCGGCAGGATTCCATCAAGAAATCCCGGCACCTGGGGCTGCAGCAGCCCGCGGACGTCCCCCACTATAAATCCAGCAAGCTGGAGGACAGGGCTGCCGAGCCCGCCGGCCACGCCGCGCCGCCCGACGAGCAAGTTCACATCGACGCGGAGGTGGAGGCTCCTCATGTGGGCTTCCAGTTCGGCCAGGGGGCTGAGGTGATGCCCAGGGGCTTGGCTGTGTCGCAGCAGGAGCACGAGTCACCCCGCTCCTCCAGTAAATCCAAATCCTCCAAAGCTGAGGAGCAGTACGGGAGCATGCCCTCCATCCTGGGAGTCATGGGGAGCTGGGCTGAAGGTGAGTGGGGTTGAGACACCTGTGAATCCTCTCTTCTGGCTCTGAGAAAACAGGTCTTGCTCAATAGTAAAGCACAACTGCCAAAAAAGACAGCTGTGTTGTCCAGAAATGTATGTTTGGAAAGTTTAACTCATTACCTTGAAATAATTTTGAGTTCTTGAAGTAGCTGGGGTATTAAATTTAAAAATAAATGTAAGTTGGGATATTTTAAAGCTCATTTTCGTGAAATCACAGAATGGTTTGTGTTGGAAAGGACCTTAAAGCTCATTTTGCTCCACTCCCTGCCATGGGCAGGGACACCTCCCACTATCCCAGGCTGCTCCAAGCTCTGTCCAGGCTGGCTTTGCCAGGTCTGTGTTAATACACCAAATGGTCCACTCCTCCTTTATTGCACACCTGTGTAATCTACAGGCAAACACAAAACCTTTGTGCTTAAAACAACCAGTGAATATTATTTTAATAAAAGCGATGTGCTACTCTTCTCATAAAACACCTTTTCCTAGAGCATTACGTGACACAATTTTAATTTTTTTTTTTTTAAATCCCATTATTTTCTGACAGATGACCTGGCCAGGATGAGGTTCAAGTGTCCATTCTGCAGCCACGTGGTGAAGAGAAAAGCTGACCTGAAGCGTCACCTTCGCTGTCACACGGGCGAGCGGCCGTACCCCTGCGAGGCGTGTGGGAAGAGATTCAGCAGGCTGGATCACCTCAGCAGCCATTTTCGAACTGTGAGTATTTTTAGCAACTGCATGATTTATTTAACGTGTAAATCTGGCTAATTAAACCCAGTGTGAGTGTATCTGGTTGATCTAATGACTCCTGTAAAGAAGAGGGGAATAGAAAATTAATTTGCTTTGGTTGCGGTCGAATTGAGGGATAATTTGCAGGAAAGGGGAGGAATTTGCTGGGTAATTGATGGCTTGCAGAGGTTCTGCTCTCTGCAGCCTGTGAGAGCTCCAGCGGGCAATTACCTGGGCTGGTACAGCTCAGTGTTTGATAATCTCTCAAATTGAAGCGACGCCGCGATTTGATCTTTATCATCTCCCAAAAAACCCCATTTGTGTACACTCAACAACTCCATCCCTTGTGGTGTCCCCAGATCCACCAGGCGTGCAAGCCCATCTGCAGGAAGTGCAAGCGCCACGTCACCGAGCTGACGGGCCAGGTGGTGCAGGAGGGCACCCGGCGCTACAGACTGTGCAACGAGTGCCTGGCCGAGGCTGGCATCGACAGCATCCGCATTGACTTGGAGGCTGAGGCGCCCCTGGAGTTCCCGCAGGATGGGGACAAAGATTCCAGGTGGCACTACGGGGAGGACAACAGGTCTGATGTGGAGATCGTGGAGGACGGCTCGAGCGACTTGGTCATTCAGCAAGTGGATGACAGCGAGGATGAAGCGGAGGAGAAGGAAGTGAAACCAAATATTAGGTAGTTGGAAGACAAGGATTGGGAATTCTGTGGAAGAGGGAGGATGTACTGTGAGCAAATGCCCTCTGCCAGCTGATCCTACAGAGACATGTGGTTGAACAGGTCCAGGCTTGCATGTATTTATGGACACGTCATTGAGGCCATGCTGGTTTGTTAGCAGAACCCCCATGTGTCGTTTGGTTAAAAAGATCCATCCTGAAATTAGGGATAAACAAGGAAACTGCAGGGTTACGTGGATAATTTTTACAGCAGGCAATGGGGCACGTCTCAAAGCCTCTTGCAAGGAGGTTTGAATACTTTTAAAAAGTTGCAGATTATTGTAAATTGCCCATTTTTTACACTTGGAGAGAGGTGGGGTTTTATATCACTGGGCTATAAACAAAGTATGAAATTCCCCACACCAGAAAACCTCTCTTGAGTGTTCAGAAGTGAAGAGAATCTTCCATGAAATTTTATGACATTTTCATGTTATGATAAGGAAAACAACAGCTAATTAAGAAAGAGCATTTAAAATGTTTTGGCACTTTTGTCTGGAAAAGGATTTCTGTAAAATTTATTAGGATAAGTCTTTAGTAGATCAAATGTTCAAGACTTACTTCTTTAAAAGAAAATAAGCACATAAATGCTTAACACATCAGAGACAAACTGATTAAAAATTCGGATCATTAATTGATGGCAGTAAATGTTTGAGTCTCAAAATTAGGATCTCAGACTGGGCTGTTCTAAACTATTAAAATACTCTTTTTTTTATATTTGGAAACTTTTCAAAAGTGCCCAGACATGATGGGATTGTTGGGGTGCAGGGCCAGGAGTTGCATTTGGATGATCCTTGTGGGTCCCCTCCAGCTCAGGATATTGAATTCTGTGCACCTTTTCCAGTCTGCACCACTGAGACCAAGATGTACTGGAAGTTCTAGACACCATATTTGTGTCATTTCACCCACAAACAGGCTACAGAGATGAGTAATGGTGAAGAAATTTTAATTCTTTAAGAAATGAAGCTTGGTTTTGCTGCTTGGTGAGGTTCTCTTACCCAGCACTGTCAACAGGAGAGGAGGAGCAGGAGATGCTCCTGGGGTCCTGCTGCTCTGCATTCCTTGGACACACCTGAGTTTATTCCAACTTTTGGGATCATGGAACTCAATGGCTGTAGACTTAGAAAATTAGATCTATTTTTTTTTCTTTTTTACAGCTTTGTAAGCATGTTTGGCTGAACCCCAGGTTTCTTACACAACAATCCCACATACATATGTATATATACTATATAACCTTTCCCAGGGACAGCTAAAAAGTCACTATTTTATTTTTAGTTGTGTAAAAATTGTATAACTTTCTTGTATCATCATGACCAGAGAGTGCAGAATTTTCATTCCAGGCTGCAGGTGACCAACAAATGACAACTGGAGAACTTCATGCTAAATTCAGTGTAAGCATTAAGCACCCTCCTCTTCATGGGAAGCATCCCAAGGACACAAGAAGTGGTGTTTTATTGTTCCTACAAAAGTTATAATTTATTGGCTTAGGTTTGGGGTGGGGGTAACTTAAAAATCTTCGTGATTACCCAGATGAAAACATCTTAAACAAGACTTACACTTGATTTTATGGGACGTTTGGTCAGCAGCCCAAAAATGGACTTGATGTGAAAACAGACATTTAATTTCTTGGAGCTTTTAAACTCCTGAAATGCCTGTTATTAAATGGCTTAGAAATATTCCTGAGCAACCTGGACTAAATCAAATACACAGAACAAGAAATATTTCAAAGAATATGGAGTAACTTTGCTCAAATTTCATAGATGTTTCCCTTTCCCTTTCCATTAAACAGTTTGACAACAAATCCCAGGTATCAGTGCCTGCTGTAAAAACGTGGCTGGAATTGGTCTGGGTTTCTTTGGGGATGGATGAAGGGGAGGGGAAAATAAAGTGTTCTCTCCAGGCCTGAAATCTTAACTGCCAACTGCAAAGGTCAGACTATTAAGTGTTTCTTAATAGTGGGGGTGTTTTTAGAAGCAAAGGGATTTTTGGATCAATACTCAATTTAATTAGAGATCATAAATCTAACAATACTGAGGAGCAGATGCTTCAGAACAGATCTGAAGTGGCTCTAATGGGCAAATGGAACAATCTGTCCACAGGAAGATTTTACTTTTTAAACACAGGCAGATGAATTGTTGATTTGCTGGGCAAATAAGGGCTTTTTTTTCTGGATTTTTATGTTGTTATTCTCATTAGTAAAACTAGGTATCTGTAGTCATTTTTAAAGTATCATATTAAGCTTGGAGGTTTAGCTCAAGGCTGTGATTCCCACAGATCAATGATGTTTTTCTCTTTTTTAAAAGTTGCCATTTTTACATTTGTTGTCTTAATTTTGGTCGTTGTTTCCTTCTTTTTGTATTGCAAGACAAGATAAATGTTAAGTGCCTTCTGTTTTCCATGTCCTTCATTTTACAATCACATATTTTCCTTGGTTTTGTTTTTTTTTTTCTCTAAATGAAAGTATTTGTTTTCTTTTTGTCTCCTTCCATTGCCTCTGATTGTCTTCTTCATATTTCTGGGAGGATCACACCTCCCTCATCAGCACAAGAACATTTCCTTTCAAGGAGGAAAGTAAAGACCACACAGGGATGTTCCCACTGAATTTATTTATTTCCTTGTATTTCTTTCATCTTTATGTCTCCTAGGGACAAGGTTTAGTGCTGGATTTGATCTTAGGGGGTCTTTTCCAAGAATTCTGTGATTATTTTTGCTTGGTTTGTGTTTACTTTGTATTCACAAAACCACAGGCAAGAGTGAAGACAAAGTTCATCATCCTCTGATCAATGTCTCTTAACTATCCTTATTTTCTGACAATATCTTCCCATCCTTTCAAAGGCTGAAATACTGAATTAAAAAATTCCCTCTCTTCCTTTTCAGGTGTTTCTTACAGAATTCTCTCTGCCCCAAAAAACCTATGACTTGTGTGATGTTCGATCAGTTCTTTCACATCATTTCCCTTTTTTTTGTTTTTGTTTGCCATTAAATTACCTAAACATCCCTATTTGCTATCCAAAAAATGTCACTTGTCCTTATTTTAAAGGTTAAACAGTTAAAAAAAATAAAAATCCTACTTAAAAAAAATTCTTCCTTTTCAGGTGTTTCTTACAGAATTCTCTCTGCCCCAAAAAACCTATGACTTGTGTGATGTTCGATCAGTTCTTTCACATCATTTCCCTTTTTTTTGTTTTTGTTTGCCATTAAATTACCTAAACATCCCTATTTGCTATCCAGAAAATGTCACTTGTCCTTATCTTAAAGGTTAAACAGTTGGGTAGCCCCACTTAAAAAAAAAAATCCCAAAGACTGACTTCAGAATGAATCTCCCTTTCCAACCTTTTGTAATTTGCATTCTATTCCAGTTCTAAAGAATTGACATAAGAAAGAAAAAGCAAAAAGATTGATTTTTTAGGGTGGCTTTGAAAATAAAAGCCCACAGATCTCACAGAGGGCTGACTCTGACTGCTACAGGTATCCTTGCCTTACTGCTGGCTCTGCAGAATGGTCCATCCTCCAGGATTTAGGGATCCATCTCAACTTTCCAATGATAAGTTAAGGGAAAAAAACCCACAAAACACTCTGTTGGATATAAAATAAGACTTCAGAATGAATCTCCCTTTCCAACCTTTTGTAATTTGCATTCTATTCCAGTTCTAAAGAATTGACATAAGAAAGAAAAAGCAAAAATATTGATTTTTTAGGGTGGCTTTGAAAATAAAAGCCCACAGATCTCACAGAGGGCTGACTCTGACTGCTACAGGTATCCTTGCCTTACTCCTGGCTCTGCAGAATGTTCCATCCTCCAGGATTTTGGGATCCATCTCAACTTTTCAATGATAACTTAAGGGAAAAAAAACCCACAAAACATTCTGTTGGATATAAAATTTTGGAATATACATTTCTTCCCTGAAGCATCTGGTCATGTCAGTTATCCCATTACAGAGCCATGCCAATGTCTACCTTTCTTCTATTTTAGTTACTGTTGGTTGGAGGCAACAAGTACAAAAATGAAATGGAAGCAAAAATCTCCAATTCTGCCCAAAAGATCGAGTTTTGAAGAAAAGGATGTTCTAATCCTCCAGCCCTTGCCTTGCAGAGTTTTTCCATTAGGTACAAATTCATGCCAACACTGTTGAGTGATGGGTATAAGTTGATAAGCTACTAAGAAAAGCTTATAATATCATTTAGTTAAATATTTTCTATACTGTTTAACTTAAAACCTTTCTACACTGGAGGCGTAACCTTTCATCCTATTTAACTCATGAAATGCAAAGAGGAGGCTTATTCGGTGCATCAAGAATTTTAAACGGAGCAAGGACACAGAACAAGAGATTTTGTAAGGAAAATTGGGAGGAGTGGCTGGAAAGAGCCTTCCCTATCTTGGCTTAGCTGCTGGAATAAATTAAACACTATTGAAGATCTCACCCGTCGCTTGCTGTGGAAATGGGAACTGTCCTTTGCCAGGTTCTTGCAGCCTGCTCTGAGGAGGGGACTGTACCGATGATTGCAGAGCTTCCTTCTCAAAATTATTCCATGATCTCCAGGAATAAGACTGAAAGAAATCTCATCTAACAGGCACGAATTCGAAAGTGTCTTGTCTTCTAACAGGCATCCTGATTCCATATTCCACCCAGAAGGGAAAAACAGGACAATCTGTGTATTGCACTCCTACGTGCAGCGCTTTGCTTTGGGATTATCCTCATTGTTTGAATACAAAAAAATCCCGTTATAAAAATGCTGCGATATCGACTTAATATCGTTAATCCTACACCGCGGAGCTCCGGATCTCTGCCGTTCACCGTTCAGGTGGCGCCTTCCCTCCGCGCACACAAAGGTAGCGACAACAAAGCCTTGTGTGAGCGGGGCAGCGGCCTCGGAGCGGCATGTGGGGGTGGGAAGCGGGAGCGGCGGCGGCCGCTGCGGTCCCCGCGCGGCGGGAGCGGCACCGGGAGGCGCCTCCGCGCTGGCGGAGCTGCTCCGGCGCCGTCGGGCGTCCCGGAGCGCCGGGGAGCGAGCGGCCAGTTCGGCCGGGCGGGCGGGTGAGTGACGGCGGCCGCGGGCAATGCCGGGGGGTCGGGCCGGGAGGGCGGCGACCCCGGGGCGCTGCCGCCGCATTCGAGCGGTCCCGATGCGCCGGGGCGGAGGCTGTGCCCACCGGGGACCCGCGGCTCTGCCCAGGGCGGGAGGGCCAAGTTCTCTTGCAGACTCTGAGAACCATCATGGCTTGGTCGACATAATTTTCCTTCTTTTGGGATACGGAGTAATCCCGCTGGGACATCTTTTCACCTCTTTTGGAGTTAAGTTTCTTCTCTCTTGTTATGCAGAGTAGCGGCCGCGGGGAGATTGGAGATACATTGGGAATGTGATAGCGCATTTTAAAAGAGAGCTCATCTCTTTAAATTAGGATTCAGCATCATTGATTTAGATTATCATGATGATGTTTTTTCCTTTACAGCGATCCTTCCTCTTACTCCCCGCCTGGAATGGAGATTTCTTCCCACCAGTCTCACCTCCTGGAGCAGCTGAACGAGCAGCGGAAGCAGGACTTGTTCTGTGACTGCAACATCCTGGTGGAGGGCAAGGTGTTCAAAGCCCATCGCAATGTGCTGTTTGCCAGCAGTGGCTACTTCAAAATGCTCCTTTCGCAGAGCTCGAAGGAGACGAGTCAGCCAACAATAGCCACGTTTGAGGTTTTCTCTCCAGAGACCTTCATGGTCATCCTGGACTTTGTGTATTCAGGGATATTGTCTTTAACGGGTCAGAATGTGATCGAAGTCATGTCAGCGGCCAGCTATCTGCAGATGACAGATATCCTCAATGTCTGCAAGACCTTCATTAAGTCCTCATTGGATATTAATGAAAAGGAAAAGGATCATTACCTCAGCCTCTCGGCCAAGAGTGAGAGCACCGAACCCACCCCTGCCCGCCCGGCTCTTTATCGCTCCAGAAGGAAAGCAAAGAGCAACCCCCGGCGTTCCTACTCCATCCCGGATGAAAAACCCAACGGCAATGAAAACTCCTGGAGCAGTTACAGCAGCTACCTGTCCTCACAGGTGATCCTGCAGCGGGCAGAGACCCAGCTGTCCAAAAGAGGCAGGAAACAGGGCTCCACGAGGAAGCGCCGCAAGCACCTGGGGCTGTCGCAGAGCTGGGAGCTGGGAGGGAGCAAACCGGAGCGAGCCGGAGCCGCGGACCCCGCTCACATCTCCCACGGAGCAGAGGAGGCAGAGTTTGATGCTGAGAACGACGTGGATCAGGATGACTTTGGATTTCATCCCGGAGCAGAGGCCGGAGCCAAGAGGTGGTCGGTTGCTCAGCTAGAACAAGAACTTTCCAGAACTCCTGAGTTCATGGAGTTAAAGGCAGAAGAACTGTACACCTCAATGCCCACAATTTTAGGGGTAATGAGTAGCTGGAATGAAGGTAAACAATAGAAAACGCTTGGAAAAGTTTGGTTTTATTTAGAATTCAGATGGTGATTTGGAAGGAATTTGTATGGCTGCATGGAAACCAAAAGCCTGCCTGGAATGATAGGTGATTTCATCTGCTCAATTTTAGTGCTAACGCTAAGGTTTTGAAGCCAGAACAGGGCATGGGAATTGGCATGGGACTGACCCAGGTATTCTGTAAATTTCAACCAAAACATGCTTGATTATTTGTGCCCAAGTGGAGTTTAATG